GAAGAGGCAAATCCACAATTATAATTGGAGCCTTCAATGCTCCTCTCCCAGAAACTATCGAATTAGTAGAGAAAACCAGTAAGAATATAGAAGACCTGGCAATGTTATTAACCAACTTGACACAATTGACCAAAAATGCACATTAAATGTTTTTTGGCTTTTGGGGTTTTTGTGTGTGTGTTTTTTAATAAGTGCACATAGGACATTCTGGGGCAAAACAAATCTTGACAAATTGAAAAAAAACTGAAACTTTAAAAGTATGTTTTCTTACCATAACAATTACAATGTGCTATAAAGTAGCTCACTCTGTTACCTTTTGGTATATTTTCACTGTTTAACTTGGCAACTTCATTCACCCAGAGTATATTGCTACATAACCAAGCTGACTTTGTTTCCAAATTACTTCCAAGATTAGTAGTGACTTAAGTGCTATTAGAGAATGTTTTGGTGCACAATACACATTTGACTATCAGTCATCATTTTCAATGGAAATAAATCCAAAAGGCAAGAAACTGTTAACATATCTGCAATGTGTTAGAATGGAACAATAATTTCATCTTGGACATTTAGAAAACTTAGGTGGCAATTCTTTAATTCTGAAGAATTCCATTTTTTTGCTTGATGTAAGATCTGAGAATTGCTATTTCAACTTTTCCTGTAAAACATTCTTCTTGTAGTCTCAGGACCTTGAGCAATGAGTTTTATCATAATAGTGCAAACACCTTTGAAAGCAAGATAAAGCACGTAATAAAGCAATGGTCAGCAAATAACCCAAATGCATCCACTGTGAATTGGGTAGTAAATGCTACTCCTGCACCAGTGACTAATCATATATTCAAGTAACAAGTATGGCATTGTCTGCTGACAAATGATTTCTTTTTTAATATATATTGTTATTGATTTCAGAGAGGAAAGGAGGAGAGATAGAAACATCAATGATGAGGGAGAATCACTGATCGGCTGCCTCCCACATGCCTCCTACTGGGGATGGAGACACGACCCAATCCGGGCATACGCCCGATGGAATGTGAACTGGACCTTCTAGTTCAAAGGTCCGATGTTCAACCACTGAGCCACACGGGCAGGGCTGACAAGTGATTTCTTAAAAGCAGATTATCATGTCCTAACATATGGTGACAGGAGAAGATGTGACTCTGGGTGGTGGGCGCACGGTGGAATATACAGAAACCCACATAGAAACCCAGCACTGAAGCCTGTATGTTCATGTTAACCAATGTCACCCCAATAAATTTAATAAAAACAATATTTAACAAAAAAGGCAGATTATCACATAAAAATCATAATATAATTAGCATCTTCTTATTAAAAATTATATTTTAGGGAGAGGCCGAGGTCATCATTGGATTTGAAATATTTAAAGTGGATATAAAACTGTTTCAGCAATGCAGACAATTAAGTGTGTTGTTGTGGGCGATGGTGCTGTTGGTAAAACATGTCTTCTGACATACTACACAGCAAACACATTTCCATCTGAGTATGTACCCACTGTTTTTGACAACTATGCAGTCACAGTTATGATTGGTGGAGAGCCATGTACTCGGACTTTTTGAAACTGCAGGGCAAGAGGATTGTGACAGATTATGACCGCTGAGTTATCCACAAACAGATGTATTTCTAGTCTGTTTTCCAGTGGTCTCTCCATCCTCATTTGAAAATGTGAAAGAAAAGTGGGTGCCTGGGATAACTCACCATTGTCCAAAGACTCTTTTCTTGCTTGTTGGGACCCAAATTGATCTCAGAGATGACCCCTCTCCGATTGAGAAACTTGCCAAGAACAAACAGAAACCTATCACTCCAGAGACTGCTGAAAAGCTGGCCCGTGACCTGAAGGCTGTCAGAGAGGAAGGGAGGATAGAAACATCAATGATGAGGGAGAATCACTGATTCTCTGCAGGCACGCACAGAAACTGCACTGTTTATGCACTCACAGAAAAAGGCCTAAAGACTGTATTTGACGAAGCAGTATTGGCTGGCCTGGAGCCTCCAGAACCGAAGAAGAGCCTCAGGTGTGTGCTGCCATGAACATCTCTCCAGAGCCCTTTCTGCACAGCTGGTTTCGGCATCATACTAAAAGCAATGTTTAAATCAAACTAAAGATTAAAAATTAAAATTCGTTTTTGCAATAATGACAAATGCCCTGTACCTACCCACATGCACTCGCGTGAAACAAGGCCCATAGATATGGCCCCTTTCCCCCTCTCAATACTAGTTAATTTTGAGTAATTGTGTATTGTCAGAAAAGTGATCAGTACTAGTGTTTGTTTTGTTTTTTGTTTTGTTTAAAAGCAAGGCATGCTTGTGATGAGCCTGTAACAGACTATTTCGGGTTGTTGAAGCTGTTCCCGGGTTCCACTCTGGAGAGTGAGCTGAGACATCTAGTGTTTTCTTTTCTTTTTCTTTTTTTTTTTTTTTTTGTGGTGGGAGTGGAGGGGTGTGTGTATGTGGAATTTGTTTTTATTTGGTCATTTTTTAAAAAATTCATTAACCATTGAACAGCCCTTTAGTTAGGTGAGGAGGATGGAGTGATTCCACTTTCCACATTCCACTTCCTAAATCTAGTTTAGAAAACATGTTCCCACTTAGGTGCTCTTAGGAAGGAGTATAGTCAATGCCTCATTTAGTAACATACTCCTTTTTGAAAGTTGCCTTTTCTCTCCACCCTTGAGTAGGTTCAGTATTGGATGAAACTCATGAAAGTGGGTGGCACCTGTCTTGCCCCTCCTCTTTTCTAGGATGCACTGGATACGGGACAGACTTTCAAGAAATTTGTTAGCCGTTTGCTGATTTTTTTTCTGAAGTTAATGTCTCACTTCCTTCACTGGTAAATGAAGACAAGTATTGCACCTTTTGAAATATATCAAATGGATTAAGTACATAATTTAAAAAAAACACATTTTTTTCCTTGTCAGTCATTGTCTTAAATGCTTAGCATAGATGTGCAGCTTAATAGTGTATGATATGGTGTTCCTAGAACACAGCTGAAGACCTGGTATATATGAGGATTGATAAAAGACAGGTGTCTGTGGGATGATTCACATCCTCTTCAAGTTATGAGGATGGAGGCCTGCTTCATGGAGAAGCTAGGGGTGGGGTGAAGGTGGGGAGAACATTTAACAATATGGGGACCAGTCAGGGGAATCCCCTCCTTTCTGTTTTGCATGAGGAACCCTAGAACAGCCAGGTGAAGCTCTAGTTTAATAAAAACCATGGAGAGAGTCTTATGAAGACTCTTCGTAAGTGTTAATAGGGATTTGATCAGCTTATTTTGTTTGCAGTTTCCAACATTGTTAAACACGTTTAGGTAATATTCTCCACCCTCCCCAAATCCTAATTCTTGTAGTTTCATTAGTGTTGAACCAATGCTTTCTCATGTCTCAATTCTTTGTATATGCATTCTTTTCAGATGTATTAAACAAACAAACAAAAAAAACCCCTCAAAAATTATATTTTAGAAGGAAAAATATACCTAGAAGAATTTTCCCCCACCAAGGACTACCTAGTAATCTCTCATGAGATTCTGCTTGGAAACACAACTTGGGAAATGCTGCCTTAAGGTTTACTTGGACTAGGAATTCCATGTTATCTATATGAATGCTCTGGAGTAACATAGTGTTCTGAAACGGAGGAAAACACTGGGTTGAGAAAAATATTTAGAAATATAGACCCTTGGAATGTGAGATGAAAACCAGAGCTTAAGAAAACACGAGAAATACAGAAACACCGCCGAATCCAACTAGGACCACCGAGAGGAATGGATCTCATTTACAACTGGGTTTGACTGTGTGGTGTCAGGGTGTAGCTCTGCTTGACAAGTCGGACCGTAACATTTCTGGGGTGGATCCCTTTCCAGTCCCCCTCTTAAAATTCAAGGGAGAGCCAACGTTTGAGGACTCGCAGCACTGCTCCTATGCCTTTTCAATACAATGAAAGACCAGTAGGGGGAGAAATTCGGAGAAAACTGGGCCCTAAGCGGTAGGGATCTCAAAAGGCAACAGATCCCATGACAGGGCTCGGGAGCAAAAAGAGGCTTGTGTGGTATGCAGCACCAAAGCACCACCCCGAATCTCTGATCTACTGCCAGGATGGCTTTCCTCATGTCTCCGTGGGCACGACGCGAAAAAACCGCACGCCTTCCGAATAGTAGTCACAAGCACATCCTACAAGCTAATTCAAATTTGGGGGGGAAAAGGCGGGGGGGGGGGGCGGGAGCATTGCAAAAAAAGGTCTCCCCTGAGTCAGTCTTGCAGAGAGCTGTGGCAGTGCATTCCTTCCGGGATGGGCTACAACTTAACCTTTCGATGGCAGAAGGCAGGGCGTGCAGCAACGGTTTACGAAAGGCTTTCTTTCTAAGATCGAGAGCCACTTCTGGTTAGCCGCCGACACGCGGCGGTTAGCCACCGCGCCCCCTTCTCTCGCCCCCGAAGGAGGAAACCTCCCTTCCTCTACGGGCATAACGTGAATGAACTCACTCCCTGGCTCGCGGTACCCGCCTTTCTTTCTCCCTACCCCAGCCCGCCTGATGCTCGAGGAAAGCGATCTGCGACACGCGCGCCGTCCGAGGATGACACACCACCTCACCCCTGCAAAAGGCGTCGCGCCCCACCCGCGCGCGCCCCACCCGCGCGCGCCAGCCAAACAGCCCCAACGCCGCCCCCAACTCCGGGCGGAAAAGCGCGGCGCAGCCGCACCCGCGCGCTGTCACCCGAGGTGCCCACTTCCCCCTCCCGGCCTCAGCACTTTCACTTCCTCCCCTGCGCATCTGCTTCCGGGGCACGGAGGCCCCGCCCCTCCTCGGCTCCAACCCTCCTCAGCCCGAGGAGGGGGGAGGCCAGGGGGTGGGGATGAGCTCGTTGTTTGTTTACACGATGTGAGCGGAAAAGGAGACCAATAAAGTTTATTCTGGAAACAAAAGGGGAAAAAAAACAGGGGTGACAGAGAAAGGAGACGGGGGCGGGGGCGTGTGGCGGGGGCTCGCCCGGAGAGGCAACGAGAAGGAGAAAGCGGCAGTTCCGGTGCCGCCGCCGCGGCCGCTGAGGTCTCGGGCTGCTGCCGCCGCGGCTGCTGGGGCTGGGGCGGCCGGCGAGGCAGGGCTCGGGCCCGGCCGGGCAGCTCCGGAGCGGCGGGGGAGAGGGGCCCGGAGGCGGGGGCCGCGCCGCCGGCTCTCCTCTCCCTCGGCGCCGCCGCCGCCGCCGCCCGCGGGGCTGGGACCCGATGCGGCTGGAGCCGCGGAAGCTGGAGCAGCTCCGAGCGTGAGTAGAGCGCGGACCTGCCGGGCGCGGGCGCCGTGGGGATGGGGACCGGGTGGGAGCCGGGGACTCTCGGGCGCGCCCGCCGCGCTGGGCGGGGGCCGCCCCTGCTTGTCGGCCGCCGCGAGTTCGCCCGCGATCGCCGCTCCCCCTGCCTGGCCTGCCACTGGCCTCACCCAGATGCAGACACCGGGGCTCCCTCTTTTCTCCCCGCCGCCGCTGCCTCACTCCTTGTTTCCTTCCTCTCCCATTTTTGGTGATGGGGCGGCTGGGAACTGAGGAAGTGCGCCCAGGGCCGCCGCCCCGGGCCCGGGAGCTCGGTCCCCCTCGCCCTTGCACGCCCACCCGGCCTGCGGGTGGCGGGGCTGCCGCGAGTCCCGGGGCGGGTGGGACCCCGGGCGGGACCCCGGCGCGGAGCCGCGAGCTGGTCCGAAGGGGCTGTCAAACCTGCGGACTTACGGCCCCGCCAGCCCGCGACCCTGCGTTCGCCTCGTCCAGGTTTAAATCGCCCGGCTGGGGCTCAAAGGAACACCGCACCCCCACCCCGCAGCTCCCCTCCCACCCTTCCTCCCGAGGTTGTTTCTTTCTTTCTTTTTCCCCCCCCTTTTGACCGTGACAATCGAACGTGCGGATCTTTTCATTCATAGACCTGAGTGAGACATTGTCTCGTGGTTGGTGTCTTCACCAAGTCTCTGCTGTGATGCTGGTTTCGTAACTCCGAAGTGGTTCGGGGCGACGGGGCGACGGGGCAGCGCGGGTGACCGCGGCCCCGGAGGGTTATTTTAGGATGCTGAAGGCACCGTGGTGGTGGCGGCTGGCTCCTAGACTTGGGAATCGAAAGCGACTTTCTTAGATGTCAATAACTGGAGAGCTGTTTACATAGCTCCCTGCAGGGAAAGGGGGCGCAATAAGGGGAAGCGTGTGGAAAACAGCCGGCACATTCTTTAATGAAACCGAGCTGTGATTTCGGGTTTTTTTTTGGGGGGGGGGGGTGAGGGCGGGGGTGAAGCTTCCTCATTTTAGCGCTGCGCCTTTGTGCACATGCAGAACATGGGCTGGTGTAATGTTTTGGGTCGTAGTTTGAGAAGCCTGGGAGAACCCCTAGAAAACTTGGGTAGGTGAACTCCTGGTAACTCAAGTCGGGTGTTTTCTACGGCTGCATGGGAACCACTGCGGGCGGTACTGGTCGCCTGTTTTCCTGCTTAGAAAGTCGATTCTCTGGTTATCTGCTTACATTAGTGCACTGTGCACAATTTATGTGCTGGATTGCCTGTTAAGAAAAGACCTGGGAATACTTAGGATACCATGTTGCCAACTGAATTTGGATGAATTAGAACACAAGCAACGACGGCATTGGAATCTGTTAATATGTCTGTGTGTTCAAGTTTTAAGTTTGTTGTTTTTTTTTTTAACTGAACTATTGAATTCTGGTTGACAGCCTAGCTCTCTATCTGAACATCACATGTTCTGGAAAATTTTAAATATCAGATAAACTGTTCTGCAGTGTCATTTTTATCTGAAGATGATCCAGTGATGTGTGTGTGTATGTGTGTTGGGTTTTTTGTTTGTTTTTTCGTTTTCTCAGTTTGTGTTTTGAGATAAAATTAAATAAAATTTCATCAATAAGTTTTTTCAGAAGTTTATCATTGACTGAGTATACAGTTTGAAAGGCATTGCTATCAGTTTTAGTTGAAGAATTAAAAATGAACCACATTTACATGCAGAACAGTGTTTTTATATATCTAATTTTTTAAAATTATAAGTAAATTGGATATAGCATTAAAGAGATGTTGCTAAATATAAATACTGTACTTAAACTGAAAAATTACATCAAAGTGTATATTCTCGTGGGGCTAGGTATACATAAAAAGGAGACTGTAAAAGAGCAGTGGCTTTGCCTGGTTTTGTATGTGGCACAGTCCTCTTGGAGGCAGAGCTTCCTTCCTGTCAGGATAAGATCCTCTCCATCCCAAATAAGTATTCCCTTTAAAAAAAACGAAACACACACAAAAAATCTAAACTTATAAATAAAATACTTATATAATAATGTAGATCATAATAACTTTTTTCCTAAAACAGTTTACTTTGTGTGTGACTTCCCTTGTTAGTACCCTTTATTGAATAAAGATTTTTAAACATTCATAGTACCATTTAAAAAAGACTTTTGCTTTGTTGATTTGTTTATTTGAAGAGCTAACTTAATCCCATTTGATCTCTTTAGCAACTAGAGTAGCATTAAAGAATCAATTCTTTATTTTATTATTTAGCATCTTGATTGCCAACGTTAAGGTTGCTTCTTTAAATGAAGCATCATAAATTATTTCATCTCTGGTGAAAATATTTATGATCTTAAAAATTGGGCAACTTTAGCAGCCTAAATCTTGTAGTATCATGGTTTATATTTTACTAGCACAGTTATCAAGCTGTTTTCTTAAGTATTATTTATCCTGAGCTATACAACCATCCCATAAGTAAGGCAGTATTACTATCTCTGAGAAATGATATTTTAATCTAAGGCCAGACAGGTGTCAAAATGACAGACTAATTGATAAAAACCAATGTTTTGTGATTCCTTTTACTATATCATACCACTTCTAACCTGCTTCTTAATAGATAAAGAAACTAGGGACCCACAGAAGTTTAGTTAAGATAATCTTTTATTTGCAATATATTTCTAATTCCCTGTATAGCTTAAACAGTGGTTTTTAATCCTAGCTGGTTATTAGAATCATCTGGTTACCTTTTGAAAAATACCAGTGTCAGAGTCTCATTCCCAGAAATTCTGATTTAATTGGTTTAAGATGGAGCCCAGACATCTGTTTTGTTTGTTTACTTTTAAAGTTCCCCAGATAATTCTAATAGACAAGATTGTAAAGTCCTTGCTTTCAAGGAGCTGTATGATTTGGTCCTTATCTCTCTAGGTACATTTCTCCTCCCTTCTACAGCTCCTCCTGAAGTATATGTACACTCCATACCCCATCCTTAACTAGCTGACTCCTACTCATCTTTCATTATCACCTCCTTTGAAAAGTCTAGTCTGGGTTAGGTGTCCCTGCTTCCTGTTCCCATAGCAGCTGTACTCTCACCATCATAGCATTGACTCACTGCATTATAATTGCCTATTTGTCTGTACCCTCAACCAGGATGTGAATTCCAAGAGGATAGGGACCCCGTTTATCTCACATACAGTTGTGTTCTTACTGCCATGCACAGTAGCCAGTATAAAATAGGCACGTTATTAACTGAATAAACAAGCGTATTGGCAGCTGAATTTACAATATGTAATAATTTATAAACACTAAATTTTTATTCTTGCCAAACACATTTAATAATTGTGGTCACTAAAAATGTACATCCTTGAACTTGTCACACATACAAATTTCATTTGGAGATGCGATGTTATAAATTACATGCAAATTATATCAAGAATGACACTCACTTTAGCTGGTTTGACTCAGTGGATGATCTGGAGCGTCAGCCTGCGGACTGACGGTCCCTGGTTCAATTCTAATCAAGGGCACATGCCCGGGTTTCGGGCTCCATCCCCCGTAGGGGGTCCTGTGCAGGAGGCAGCCGATCAATGATTTTTTCTCATCATTGATGTTTCTATCTCTCTCTCCCTTTCCCTTCCTCTTCGAAATCAATAAAAATGTACATATACTATATATATTTTGAGGGGAGGAGAGAATTACACACACACACACACACACACACACACACTCACACTCACACTCATACTCATGTGCGCAGAAATAAAGAGCGTTATCCACTAACTGCACTGGAAATCAGGATACTTGAATTCAAATCCCGGTTTCACCGTAAGTGTTATGTACTTAGGCAAGTCTCATGATCTTTGGACCTCAGTTTTCTCATCTGTAACACAAAAGAATTGTACTAATGTTTTATGTAGTACTAGTGTTTTAGCCTTAAAACCCTGTGAGTACTAAAAATATTGGCTTTGGAATCTGAAGCTCCTTGATTCAAAGTCTGGCTCTTACAGTTAGTGGCAGGATTACTTTGCACAGATGTCCTGCCTGCTTCATGGGAGTACTTGCTACTCGATAGAGCTGTTGTTTTTTGAATTAAATGAGATATATAGATCCAAGAGAGTTTTTATCCTGGATCAGGTGTTTTAATAAAGGTTCATTTCCATTCCCCTTCAGAGGTATTAGAGCTAATGAATGAACTTAGCTGAGATAACATACTCGGTTTGTGTAATAAATCCTATTTTCCACTTTGCTGACTGCTAGTGTTACAGGTGTGACTAGGGAGAGGCCAAAAACCTCTCTGGCTTTTAGTTTCATTTTATTAGAATCCCATTCCATTGTCAAACACCAAGGTGTTAGTCAACCTGCCTGGGAAATAATTATGCCTAGAAGTTACCTTACACACAACGTAATAATATCTCTGCTGAAGTTTCTTGATATCTTGATAATTTTTGTATAAATTATATTGACTTGCCTCAGTTTGTTCTCAAGTTTATGTTTAAAGGACATCTTTTTAACAATCCTTTTTTGGGAAAAATACTATAATAAAAATTAAAAACTGTGGGTAAGAGAAACCGAAGTATTAGGGTATAAATAAGAAATGTGAGGCAAAACTGAAGTCTGAGTATTCAACTTGAAGGCTTGAGAGTTCCATCATTCTAAAGATGACTCAAACTTAGATATACTGATATGTATCTTATTCACATTTAATCCTTTATTATATGAATCAACTGATCCTGATTGAGAAAGTTTTAGGTGTTCTTTCTCCTCTCCCTAATTATACAGTTTGGGGAGTTTAAAGTTAAAATGCTTCAGCCCTGGCCAGGTAGCTCAGTTGGTTAGAGAATCATCCTCGTATGCTGAAGGTTGCAGGTTCAGTCCTGGCCAGGGCACATACAAGAAATAACCAATAAATGCATAAATAAGTGGAACAACAAATCGATGTTTTTCTCTCTCCCTTTCTCTCTCTCTCTAAAATCAGTCAATTAAGAAATTAAAGTTAAAATGCTTCAATAA